ATTAACATAGGGCTCCGATTAGAAAACAATTACCGTTTTAGTAAGATGTAAACAAAATTAAGTTAAGCACTTAAATATCAATAAAAATCAAGTTAAGTTGGAATCAAAACAAAATTAACGCAAGAACAATGAATGCCATGAAACTCCCGCCCACAAAGGCATTGCAAAATTTTACTGTATCCAAAGGGAATACTTTCAGTGAACCGGTCTTGGATATTAGCAGAAATAATGAGCACTTGAAGCCGCGAGCATCTCTAACTTAGCTTTAATGAAGCCGTTGAAACAGCCAATCTACAGAAAGCAACGATTTAATCAACTTCCTCACAAATTTTTGTTTCCAAGTTATTTTAACAATAGCCCTTCATCAGAATAATCTTTTTATTTTGTTCTAAGGAGACTATAAAGTATCACCGAAGCCATTTTTAGGAAACGCGCAATGTTGCGAATGTCATTTGTCTTTGTTACCTTACTCATAAAATGGAACGAAAATGTATGACATTTGACTTCATTAACTAACGTACGTGGAATGATATATCTTAGATTTCATGTTCAGGATTCTGTTTTCGTACAAGTACACCTTATAATTTTAATGTGCTTCTGTACCAATATGTTACAGTAGCATAACTTTCAAGTTTTTGACTAATTATATTATAAGCATTTTGGATAGAATTCAATATAATGTAATGTGTCAATATGGAGATAAGAAAATAATCTCTACATACATATATATATATATATATATATATATATATATATATATATATATATATATATATATATAGAGAATTTCACCTATTCACTGACTCATTACGATATCTCAAGATCCATAAAGCCTAGAGGCTTAAAATTTAGTAGAAATTAGGAATATTCCTTTCGCCGAGCAGAGGTCAGCTAAGATTTTACGAAATTCCACCCGCAAGAGGGTTGCGGAGGTGATAATTTAAAAAAAATTCAAACTATATCTCTTATAGGTATAAAACTTGGGCAGAATATTCTTTTTGTATGTGTATGAATGGGTCCCTAAATAGTTTGGATTCAAGATTGGAGCCGGTAGGTGGCGCTGTTGTCGATATCCAGAAATCACCCGTACGAAGCCGGGACGGATGGCTAGTTGCAAATATATTTATTTTATTTACACACACTTGACAATTATGAATGATGGCGACGACGAAAACCGACCATGTTGTCGCAGCAAGTGCTGTACTTGCTGCGACAACATATCTCATAATTGACGATCTCGGATGATGTACCCTGTAGGACGTCATAACAGTATAAGAATTTTATATTGAGGGCGTTAAGTTCATTCTGAGCACACCTGAGTATACCAAAGTTATACCTACCTACTAGGTATATCTTAGAATATGATCTAGTGATCTAGTCGTTATATGCGCCTGCCGTAATATTCACGTCCGACCAAAGGCTGATCGTGAACTTGTTTCATGTCCGCTTCATCGATACCTATATTTTGATAAGTCTATATCCTCAGAGTGAGAGACCCTCTTCACCTTGGACGTCTTTAAACATAGAGAATCGCAATCTTATCCGTATCCAGCTCAATTCTGTTAGAATTGTTTAAATCACTAACGAAGTTTAGCAATTCGTTAATATGGGAGCGACTGGAGGAGAATAATTTGAGCTTATTTTGAATTGTTTTATTTATTTGCGTGGAATATTTATGTACTTAGCTTATTCTCTATCTCTATTCTTATTCTCGGTGTAATGGCGGCGGTATCCACTACCCCATATCCTACCGTGGGTGTCGTAAGAGGTGTCAGATGGGAATAAATAAAATGAAAACTGCGATTGCCAACCCGCATGCCAAGCGTGGCAACTAATGCAAATATCGCCCCTATGAGGCAATCTATGTGGGAGGCCTACGTCCAGCAGTGGACTTTAATAGGCTGTAACGGTAACGGTAGTATTCTCTTCTGGTACATATATTAAAATGTTATAATCTGTAAGAGAAAATACGTGTTGATGATTTTTTATAATAATTTTTATTAGTATATTATATTTCTGTAGAGTTTTTCTCGTTTCTATTGCGCCTGCATGAAATATTTCCCATAAATTTCATGTATAACGGATTTAACATTTAAATTAACTTTACGGGCCTGCATTCGTTAAACCAATTTGAATCACAAAAGACCTTAATCGGAAAACCCAGAGAAACCTAAAACGTTTCGTATATCCAAACCTTTTTAATCCATTCACCCGTACGTCCGTAATTTATGCACCAAAGCGATGCGAATACAAACAATAGAATAAACTATTCACTAAGTTTTTTTAAAATTACATCACTCGCACGTAAAATAATAATTGAATGACATGCTCACTATTTTAAACAAACGTTTTAAAGTCTTTAAAAGTCTTAATACCTCTCAATGTTTTTTTATATAAGTATAAGAGATTTAGAGATATCTCATGATGAAAGAAATGTTTTACGAGGGCGACACCGAAAGTTTTTGGAACTGGCCACTTGTAAACGATATAATAAAAAATAAGCTCAAATTTTGAAAATGGAACTCTTTGCCAATATTATTGTATACCTATGTATTTCATTACGATTTAGCGGCAAATTGGAAATTGTCTGTGTCACTGCCAGTTCAGCATGAATTTAACGCGAGAAATTTTTTTATGACTTTCGATGTCATTTAATTCAACAAGAAAGTTATGGTAGACTTCGATTGGCCTTTCACGATGAAGCCCCATCTCGTGCCACTGTTTACAACTGGGTTAATGAGTTTAAACGTGGTCGCACTAATCTCACCGATGATCTGCGTGAGGGGCGGCCTTTTAGGGCGACGACTGAAGATAACATCAGTGTTGTGCGGCGTATGATAGAGACTGACAAAAGAGTGACCTATCAGCAGATTTGGACAAGCTTAGGCATCGGTAAGAGTCAAGTGCACAAAATCCTCCATAAACATTTAGCGGTCAGGAAGCTTTGTGCCCGGTCCAAAAACTCCGTCGTGTTGATTGGCGTCGTGAAATGGTGATGAAAATGGGATGACGAAAGCTGTATTTATTGTTATGACCCTGAAACTAAGAGAGTGCTGTATGAGTGTTTCCATCCGTGGAGTTGCCAACTAAAGTGAAGAGATGTCGAAGCGTGGGAAAAAAGAAGGTGACCTCGTTCTTCGGAAGGACAGGTTCACGCAACAAATTTTTCTATAGGATAGGGTGACAAACGAGTACACAGTACACCTGATGGTAAGTGGTTGCTGTGGCCCATGGACATCTACATCTATCCTCGATTACGAATCAAAATGCAGATGCGTTGTCACCCGTGAGGACCAAGATGGAATGCCTCGTTTCCAGTAAAAAGGGTCTCCAGTTCTCTACACTCACCATACGAAACACAGCAGCATTAAGCTACTATTTGACGCTGGTATTCCGTGAGAGCGTGGTCCTTCCCCGGTCGAGCCGACCCATTCGTGCTACAACTATACTACTAATATAACTGCAGCATGTCTCTACCACGTATAAAATTGTTTTAGTGGATCGAAAAACAGTTACTGCAGAGTGGTACACCAACAGTTGTTTGACACTTGTCTTGGAAAAAGTTCGTGAGAAACGACCCCGCAGTAGGATCCTCCTTCACCACGACAACGTCTCGTCGCACACCGCCAAGCAAACAAGACTACTTGGCGACGTCAGGCGTGGAATTACTGGGTCACCTGCCCTGTAGCTCTTACATTTTGTTGGTTTTTATTTATTTCCGAAAATAATAGAAAAACTTCGAGGAAAACGAGGAAAATGCCGTCAAAGAGAGACCCCTAAGAACGAGTGGGCAAAGTGATTTTCTCAGTGTTTCCATCGGATGTAGCGATGTATTGAAGTAAATGGACATTATTTTGCAAAGATATAATAAAATTAATAACTTGCTAGTTTGTTCAGTTTTTGATTTTCTAAGAACTTTCAGTGTCACCCTCGTACTACAATTAATTTCAATTATATTTTATTGAAGTAGTTATTTAAATACATGATAAACAATTACATCTACCCATTAATGAGATTAGTGGTAGTCATTATCGGGACATATTGCAGAACTTATAAATTACTTATTATTATTTAAAACAAGGAAGTTTAATTTGGTTTAAATGCAATACGTAATGATTTTGTTTAAGTTTGTAGTATTAAAGATTAATTAATAATATGTTAAAAATGAATATATTACGTTCTGTTAAACTGTACTTGGGGTGGAAAGGCGGAACCAACAATCAAAAAGTGAATTCCGGTTATCCACCCCGTCTAGGGTGGAAACGAAACGAACACACGTTTCCGAGTATCCACCCTAGGGTGGTTTTCTTAGAATTGATAAAGGGAATAACCCGAAAACTTTCCTAAATCGTATGGTGGAACTGGATAAGTATCACTACACTAGCTGTTCTCCACGACTTCGCCTGCGTGGAATTTATCGCGACTAATTTTCATGGGTTTTAATTACATTTCGCGGAACCTTAATTATTTTTCTTATTCACTGCTCATAACATCAGCTATCTGCCAGTGAAAATCTCGTCAAAATCGGTCTAGCCATTTCGGAGGTAAGCCGGAATAAACAGCAGATAGACAAACATTTTAAATAGGGATCCTTATAATATATGGAACCTTATTTAATACTATATATCTCAATCTATTGTTTACATTTTTATTAAGCGAGAAGACTCACATACGAACCATTTTTTGTTATGTAATCTAAAGCGAATCAATTAGAAAATAAACTAATCTTATAATTCAATGTTTGTGGATGGATTTGATGTCAGACCAAAAGTAAACGATTTTATAAGATAACGATTTTATGTAGCTAAAATGACGTATGGCCCCACATATCGAGAGTAGATCACTCCCTCAAGTTGTGAGGCGCGCAAAATCGTTTTTTGTTATAAGTGCCAACAAACAGACACTTTAATTTTATTTATTTATATAGATTAGCTGATTTTTTTTCAAAAGAAACGTATAAAAACAGCACAAGCATCGCCAAATTAACATTATAGACATACCTGAAAAGATGTGACGGCCAGTTGCGATAGGCCATCAACGTAAGGACCAAGGACGGCATGCTCGCGTACACGGAGCGAGCGCCGCGTTGTCTCGGGGTCCAATAGGTCGTGCACACGCTCGTTGTAAATCTCCATGTACGACACCTCCACCTAGGCATACAATACTAGTGAAACAATCGATATAAAGATAACATGCAACTTCTTCATCAGCCCGTGGAAGGCCAACGCTGGACTTAAGCATTTCTCGTCGCTGGGAGGATATACCTAGATAATAAGATAACCTTGTTCACGATATATACGAGTACATAGAAATCCCATATTAGAAAAGGCATATTTTCCACCAGTTAACTTTTGTCTGCTGATGAAGAAGAAGCACGAATGTGGCTGTCTGACCATTAATCTTATGTAATTCTTAAAACAGTCTCATGAAAATCATGAGACTTATAAAAAGTAACGACAACATTAGCTCTGAAGCCCTTATCTATGATACACTTCATAATGTCACTCATTGGCTTGATAGCCATAATCTAGAAATAAACCTTAAAAAGACAAAAATTTTACAATTTCGTTCATATAATAAACCACCCCTAAAAATTAATTTTCAATTACAAAATAACCTAATAGAAGAGATAGACTCTTATAACTTGCTTGGACTTAATGTAGATACGCATTTAAACTGGAAGTCGCATATTGGAAAAATTAAATGCAAGCTCTCTAAATTTACATATGCGCTTTATCAAATTAATCATAGCACAAATTTAGAAACTGCACTTTCCACATATTACGCGTACGCCTTTTCATGGCTTAAATATGGCATTATCCTTTGGGGTAATAGTGTTAATGCAGATGAATTGTTCATTTTACAAAAAAAATGTGTTAGGATACTTGCCAGAATTGATAACAGACATAGCTGTCGACCTTACTTCATTAAATTTAAATTATTAACCTTAGTTTCTATTTACATAAAAGATATAAGTAACTTCGTATTTAAAAATAAACACTTCTTCACCCAGATAAAAGAAACACACAATGTAAAACTTGGCATAAACATAGGTTATATTTACCCCCATCTAGAACCAAAATGCTCAATTGTAGTCCATATTACATGGCAATTAAAATATTCAATAAACTACCCATAAATATAAAATCTGAAGTTAAATTAAGTTCATTCAATAAAAAACTTCATGATTATCTTATTTCCGAATGCTTTTACACGCTCACTGAATTTTTTGATAGTTAACTACTAAGTATTAAATAAAATTTTATTTTCAAAATAGCCAAATATAATATAATGGTGTTACATAGTTATAAGTCCATTTAATTATTATATTGTATATTTCTTGTATATTGCAACGCCCGACAGGGTCCATAATGGTCACTGTAACTGCTAATGTACTGTATATTATAGAAGCAATAAACGATTTGCAATTGAAATTGAAATTTACTGTTTTAAGAATTCTTCATACAGTTTCACGACAACCACGGCTAGATAGAAAAATTTAGTAAAGACAGAAAGATTAAGCTTACAGAACTTAAGTTTGTTAGAACCGAATTGTAACCGCGGTTTTTCGGTATTATTTGCTTACATGGTTTTTTTAGTAATTAATATCGTTATTAACATCACTTCTTTTCATGTCCTCAAAGATAAAGGAAATAAAATTGAAAGGTAAATTACGTCTTAGTACCATCCCTCGGAGATTTTTCTTCAGCTTTGAATTCCAGTGGTACTAATAATGCCTCATGTTACATTACCATTACTTTTTCAGCCAATTAAAAGGGCAATGCTGAACATAGACCTCCCCCATCGAATTACCTAATTGGGGGATATTGCCATTGTTTCTACACTTGGCAAACGACTTGACAACCTCAGTTTATTATTCAGTTGCTATCACAAAGATGCTACTGCCCATATTATATTTCAGTTATGAAGTAGTGGACATTCTTACAACGCTACAAGGATAGCACGTTACACATCATTTTACAAAATTATAATGTTTATTCTTATAATAATATCTACTTCTTAAAACATCGAAATTATTTTTGAATGAAATACAGAATTTATTTTGTTGAAACAGAATTTAATTTGGCGCGTCTAAATGCAGTACGCACTGATAAACGCTCTCCACTCAGGTTTTAACCGAAGAGCTCTTACGTGTTGCGAGCAACGAGGCTTGTAGCTTTCCGAGATGAGGCTTTTGGCATATATTTTGACCGGCTTCCATCATTCTAATACAAGAGCGTGTGTATCATGCCGTCATTTTTCCCCACTAGTCTTACCCTTAAGGCTATAATATAGCTTAGCGACATGAATACGTTTTCTTGTAGTTCATTGTTAACGCTCGTCAAAGAATATTAATATTATATATCTTTGACGAGCGTTGATTAATATAGTATATACATATATATATATTTTATTAGTACTCTTGTTAATTAACATTACTAATATTCCTTTTAACCACTCCTGGTAGGTAAGCTTGAAACGCTTGTGTTAGGAGTGATTCACGACAGTAGTCTAATGGCGTATTCGAACCCACAACCTTTTAAGTTCACGATCCGCGCCCTGCCATTAGGCTACTGTCGCTTTGATATATATATATATATATATATATATATATATATATATATATATATATTGATCAGTAGTTAATACATCACCTTTTGCTAGACAAGTTTCATTAAAAATATAATATATATCCGAAGGTGTGTACACTGTGATATTTCATCGAATCGAACGAATATGTTATTTTCTTCAGAAACTATGTAATAATATTGTCTCGAAACTCAAATTGTCTTTCCAAACAAACACGTCGGTAACAGTTCAAATCACACCAGTCTCTAAAATTGGACATTAAAAACGAAAATCGCATAACACATAACGTACACGGGGTGATTTTCTCCCCACAGGGGGCAGTTGGCCGAACACAATGACATTTGACAAGGGAACAGCACTGCGCTCTTTCCCAGTGAGAGCATTTTCCTTGTCTATATTAACAACGTAAATAAATGAAAAATCGAGCTGCTGTTACAAGGCACGACGTTTATAATAACCTTTTCTAGTGCGTTTTTATAGCATTCAGCAGATTATTTTTAACCTTCTTCAAAAAAGGATTCAGATTCACAGTTCAACCGGTTGTTTGTTTTTCGTATGTATGTTGCGCAATATCTTCGTCAACTGTGAACCGTTTTTTTTTAAATTAAATAAGTTATAGCGCAAAAGCAGTCCGATTTAAATAAGTAAAAAAAAATCTACCCCCTGGAAGTTGAAAGTAGGGTTTTTTTACGTAACTACTTAGACGCCATTTTATTTGTTACCTGGAGATTGTGATAAACTCTTGATGTATATAATAAAATAATTATTTAATGTGGTTCACTATTAACCAAGATATAGCGTAACATTAAAGAAAAAGGTCGAATTGAGAAAGGAAAAGGTTCTTTTTTAAAGCCAGCTTAAATGTATTATAAGCCGACTTCAAAAAAACTAAAGAGAATAAAATATTTTCGTCATAATTTAACGCAAAGTATACTCATCAGATTCAACGTCGTCGTTATTTAGAGATGGAGGTCGCAAAGGTTTTCGTAGCACTCCATCCTTTCTGTCTCTTTCGCCAATGTTATATGGCGAATAAACCTTTGAGATAATGTAATACGAAAAAATAATAAAATATGACAAGTTACCTTGTAAGTAAGTGCAGGCGGCGACTGCTGCTTAGCAATCCTCTCGAACAGCGCATCGCACAGTCGCGGTATGATGCCGCCCTCAGCCCCCGGCGAACCCATCATGGTATACGATTTGCCTGAGCCTGAAGCAAAAATATATTATTGTTAATAGACGTTAATGTTATAAAAGCCGACTTCAAAGAATTAAAATGAATCAAATAACATAATAGCTTCAGAAGTCGGTGCCGAGACATTAATTTTAGTTTAAAATTAGTATTACAAGTCTAATGATTAAAGGAATATTATAACAAACTTATTTGTCGTCTTAGATTAAAACATTTATCTCCTTTTTTTTCTATCGTTACGTACCCGTGATAGAAAATTTTTTATTTTTATTTTTTTAAACGACGGGAGTTGTCCCATATAAAGTTTTTTATTCAAATTTATATGGGACAACCCCTCAAGTATCTTTTGTTTAAAAAAATTTTACCATCTCAATAATTTCACAAGTGACGAAGACATAAGTAACATGCATATTGAATTGAGAACCTCCAAAGGAGTCGTAAAAATATAACATAATACATTCGTAAAAAATATTATTGCTTTCGTAAATAATAAGAACATTATTTTATTCTTAGCAGGCGTCGTTAAATACTTCATTTTTAAAGTATTCTTAACTTTATTAAATTTTATTGGTACAGTCAAATAAGGTTCACGAATTTTTACGTCAAGAAGTGAACACATTTTGTTGAAACTGACTCCTCAGATTTTCCAACGTTTTATATTAAAGTTTGACAAACTATCTGTAAACGATACTCATGAAACGACTTGGATATCTCTTTAACCATTTCTTAGATAAATTAATTTCAAAGGTCTAGGTTAACGATGAATTAGAAGAAAATATACAGACATAGATATATATATCTCTATATTTCGTTAAATATTTCATTTCATAAAAGGAAGAAACTTTTTGTTAATACATTATCTGTCCATAAGCAAGAGGTCTTAATGAGAACCAATCAATAATTGGTATGTGGCAAATAATAAGATAATGTTTGTTTTAAATAAATTGATATATTAAATCTAATGGTAAAATAGGCCATTAATCAATTCTTAGTGTAATCCGAGGTTCCGAGCCCGTGAAAGTTCACTGCTGTACATGACCTCTCCCATTGGAGGTAGGATTTGCACAATCGCCTAGGTGGATTGACAATTGCCGGACGTCTTGCACCTTTTTCACATATTTTCGCAACATTATTGTATTCAGTTATAAATTACAAATATAAAAAAGAGATTTTTCTTTAATCACGTACAAACAAAATACGTAGAAACCTTTTTCCCGACCTATTATTTCTGATTGTAACCATAAAAGATTAAAACAATCGATATTGACTTTTAGACATTATATACATACATACACGATCCGATATGGTTTACTGGGGTTTGCTGTATTAAGTAATCAGATTATTGTCAGACATATTATGTACATTGTACATGCTGTATTTCACTACAGAATCAGATTTATTTTCTACTGCTGTAACAATAAAATTTTTGCATCAAGACTTTAAGAGATAGAAGGAAATAAGTGTTAGAGGTCCTTTTTGTGTAAAATTACAAAATAAAAAAATGATTGTAATTTTTTTTTATTATTCCTTATAGTCTAAGAGACAATCATTAAAAAAACATATATTTTATTATCTTTTAGATTTTATAAAAAATCTTCCATATCTTTTAGATAAAATATATTTCATTCATCGGTTCATAAAGACACTTCACAAAAGGTTCGTTGGCCATATTGTGTGAAGTGACTTTAGGAACCGATTCCAAACATTAGCCCGAGACAGGCAGGCAGACAAAAAATTAAAATGGTCAATGAGCTCAATGGAGGCGCGTGAGTAGAGAAACCGTACTGTAATGGAGTTCAGTTATTTCGGTAATACGTCTGTAGGTACTTTAACAAAACTATAAAGCATAATATGACGGTATTTACTATTCCGTGTGTGGAGACGTAACAATGCATGATTTAAGCGAACGCGTAATTTCAAATTTATATCATCGCACAGGTGTATATACGTATCACTTGTTTGCTTCGCACAACTGCTACCTACCTAAACGAAAAACCATATACGTAGCATATCGGTAGTGTAGTGTATTAAATAAATCCCGTTATGTGTAAAAATACAGAACATTTTTTTGCGTTTTGTTCCCTTATCAAAATAATACTATGTATTAAGTAACATTACTAATACTACCGTTAACTAGTCTAAGTAAGCTTAAAAATGCTTGTGTTGAGAGTGGTTTAACCGCAATAGTCGAATGGCGGATTCTAACCGACGACTTTCTTGAGTTTGCAGTCCGAACCGTGCTATCAGGCTACCGTCGCTTTAAATTTAAATATTTTTAAGTAATACTAGCTGGTACCCAGCGCGTTGCCGCCGCAGAATAAATAATGCCATCAAAAACATAACTTGTAAAAAACCAAGTCTCGCAAGTTAGTTCTTCTACCGTATAAAGTTGCGAGATTCGTGTAATACCGAGTCGGTTAATTTATTCAGTCCCTACTTAAGGGTCCTTCTATTTTAAGTTATTACGTAATTAGCTAACCTAACAACATTTTATAGTGACCATATCAATGTTAAAAATCTTTTATGTTTCAAATAAATAGATTGACTTGGCCATTGCAAGAAAACACAATGTATCTCACATGTAATACATATTATATTAAATTAGATTGCTTAGTGCGATTGCAATTATGATTATTATTTATGTTTATGTTTTTGATGGCATCTCATTTCTTTTTGTAGATAAGATAGTCCTACTGTTTTTCCTTTACGGTACCTTCTACTTCTTGAATACCAATAACTTACCTATCTACACCTATTACACATATATACAAGTACACTGATTCGTTCTCTGCAAATGTAACTCTGTAATTCTATATATGGGATTACAAAGTTTATTGTATATTATATATGCATTTGGTGTATGTGGAAAACTGGACTGAAATAAAAAAAATATTTTAGTTTTTCCTTGATTTATACACTAAACACTAATTGTATTCTAAATTTGAAGCTTCTATGTCTGCTAGAAGTGCCTTAGAGTTTTGATGATCGATCAGTCAGTGAGTGACAAAATTAAGAAACTTTGACTAGTTATATTTCTTAAACTACTAGTTCAAATTGAATGAAATTTAAAATATACCATGTTTATACAATGTCTACTGTGTTTTAAATAAATTAAGGCTTCTAGTTTTATCCACTACGAAGTTATAGGGGGTCGAAAATGGCCTGAATTGCTTCGAGAAAAGTATCGTACGGCCGTGCCGCTTTTTTGCTCGACTTGGCGGGGGCACTGCCGTGCACCCAGATAGTAGGAATATTGTTTGAAATGTAGAAGATTTATATTGTTTACTATGGAATGATAATATTCATTCAAATGAATGGATTCATTGAAATTAAATGATATCTGACAAATAAATTTGTCAATACGCGCGCCACCTACTGTATGTTAATTTTACTATGCCTATAAACTTCGCGCAAGTGCAAGCAATAACTTAACAAAATTTTACCGATTTTAATCAGATAAAGGGTAAGGCAGCGCATAAAATACGAACAAACAAACATATTTTTATATATTAGATTATTATATAAAATTATCTGCACCTATAGGTGAATTCCTAATTTTTTTTTTACGAAAAAACTGTTCCCCACGACTTCGTCCACGTGATATTTATTACGATTGGATATCATGGGTTTAATTTTTTGCGCGGAAACCTAATTCTTTTTCTCTTCTCAAATAAAAGTAGTCTAAGTAACTCCTTATAACGTCAGATATCTGCCAGTCAAAGTCCCGTCAAAATCGGTCCAGCTATTTCGGATTAGCCGCAACAAATTGACAAACTAAAAATATTTAATTTTTTTTTTGTTATAATTACCTTATATACTTCCATATTCATTAAGTAAAAAGTTGTGATTTTGACATTAGAATCAATTTTATTTATTTGTATATAAATGTATACATATTCTATTATTAGACTTTGAAAATGGCATGAAAGTGGATACAACGGAGTTTCTATCGACGTTTCTACGCCGTACTTCATTTCGAAACGATAGTATAATTTAAAAAATATTGATACTTACTAATGGTCTATCTTTTTAATTTCTTACGTTGAAAAATAAATCCATATGATGCTGTCTTGGTAACATAGCGACATGGATCTCAGTATCTATAGGACCTAAGAGTTTGCTATTTGGATACATTAAACTTGGACTTATAATCTTAAAATCTGTTAAAGCGAAACGATAAAAAATCTCAATTAAAAATATGAAAAAACCTCGTTTTGCACTTACTTTTGGCTCTTAACTCGGGCATCGTTCAGGGGTGGACTCAGGCCTTTGCGTATTAAAAATATGTTAGCAGACGAGTTGTTAAGCGTAAATCTGCCAACCTCAGATAGGTAATGCTGCTCTCCGTCATAAGTCTATAGATTTGGGTTTAGTATGTTCTATTGGATTTTTATCATTAGATAGTTAATAGAATCCATTATCAGGTGTTACTTTGCGGAAATTCATTATATTAAAATAATAAAAAATTAATTTACTAAGATCCGCGTAATGAAATAAAATAACGTGACTTATCTAGTTTGATAGCGCCTCCCGCCCTCCCTCCATTATCCCCGTCACGACTACTCCCAACACTACTACACGAGGCATTTTCAGATGAAGTAGACTGCAGTGGCTGGCCGCTATGACCTCTTAGCGGTAAGCCAATTTTCAACAAACTTTAATGTTATCATTAGTCCATTGTAACAACCTTTTTACGTTGAGCAGCCAGATATGTATAAAAGTTGGTATACATATACTTTTCACACGGTTCTTTTAATATTCATTACTTATAACCTCTTTACAAATTGCAAGAAAGAGGCAAAGATTGTTGCAAATTATAGTCATTTCGACAATAATCTGTTACAAGCATAACGTCCAAATATTACGTTAGTAACGCCAACACACCACCATTTGCGTTTGTAGATACATAACGTTTTTTATTAGTGATCTATGTACATAACACACAAAAGCTACACTTAGATCTAATAATAAAGGGAATAGTTTACCTAAAACATAAAATATAGGCAACAATAAACCCG